GGGAGGGCTTCGAGATGGTTCCTTTGCATCCTGCCGCCGAGTCGATCAGGCACAGGTACCTGGCCGCCGCTTGAGATGACGCAAAGGTCGTGGCATGCCGCGAGATTATTTTCGATGATATTCACTGAGACGCTCGAAAATAAAGAACCAGAGAATATTTAATTGAAAGCAAAGAAGATGACTTAGCTTGTATACGCAAACGTATGCGTGTCGATCTCTTGGAATCGGATCCCGAAGCCATGCATGTTTGCGTGCCCGTCGTGAGCCCGATGGGATCTCGACAAAGCGCCGCCATGTAGTTCCGTGATGGACAACACCGACCGTCGTGACGTATATCCGAGCGCAGCATCGTGATGGACTGCCGCCGCTAGCCGCCGCGTACAACTTCGATCGCTGTAAAGATTACGAATCGGCAACCCTCGAGTCGCGCAAAGACGCGTGAAATCGCAAGCCACCGCAGACTATCGCCGTAAGATCTCGTCGTGGAGTCGCAGCGAGATGCGCCGATGCTGACGGGTTGTTGAAGCTCGCTGTCGCGATCTGACGACTCCCCACGAACGATGTAGGTCATTAGGTACGCCATCTGGTTTGCTATGAGATCAGCACACATATCCTTTATCTGACGCATCACTGTCGATGAAATATAGTCAGCAGTCTATCGAGAGGTATGCCTACGGTAGTAGATGAATCGATGGAGGTGCGCAAGATACGGACTAGATGCCGACACAGAACGTAGAGAGCGATTTGGGCAGGTTCAGGCCGTCAGCTTGACGTAATTCCCTACATCCTGTGTCTTTGGTGGATTGTATATTGTGATGAGGTGTGATGAGGTATCTGGAGATATGAGATCCTAAGCTAAGCCTAAGGTTTGTATCGGGATCTGCAGACTAGGGGACCTATGCCCCTTCTTATATATTCTGGAGGGGTAGGGTTATAAGAAAAGTATCCTAAAGGGCTATATGATAGGTATTATATTTGGATTACAATATACAAAAGAGTCCAAACAAATCTTCTAGGTGCCTTGCCATGTATGCCGAGTAGCGTTGTGCGCCGCAAGTCATCATGTTGTGGGCTGGATCGTTCCTGATGGTGCGGCCGATGTCCTTTGCCATGGGTACCTAGGGTTATACCCCTACACAAATGTTCTCTGTTTGTGCTGTGAACAGATGCATCGCGATTGGCACGAATGATCATACACTGGGTGTTGAGGCATGGAAGGGGCTCTATAGAGCATCAGGTCAACACAGAACGACTTGTCTCTGATTGCAGATCAGATATCAGTTCACTTCTAAATGTGGGTTTTTATTTTCAGTTATGTACATACAGTATAGTATAGAATGTTTGGACGGCAGAACTGCCCATTAGAGAAATTTTGGATATAATATAGTACTTGCGTAAACTCATTTGTGTGGTCGGTGAAAATCATCTATTTCAGATTATTTAGACGCTGTGCTTTCATGTGATTGCTTCAAAGAAAAATATTCGGTTGCACTTCTACATGGCTAGAAATATTATAGTTCAGAGATTGTGTCTTTGCCAAATTTGTAACGTGTTGTAATTTTTCCATTGTAGACACGTCCTCATCAGTCTTCATTCAACCTCTGCTATTGATTGACTTAGTTCAGAAGATCCTAAACATAGATGTGGATAGAAACTTGACTGAACCTATATTGTATTTGTATACATGCTTGTTCTCTCCGTTTTTTTATGCTGTGCATATCTGTATTCCGATCAGATTCTACATTATATTCCGCAATACATATACACTTTATAAATATAAGAACAACCAGATGGAGTTACGTAAACACTAATCTCAATTAAACAAGGCTAATCAGATGTTCAATCTTCCATGATAGATTCATCATGGAACCTCGGAGATGATGGGCCTGTTCGGCAGGACTGAAAATACTGTTCCGGCTGATTATTGTGAGAAAAAAATACTGTTCCGGCAGGACGTGAACAGTGATTTCGTGAGAGAATAAGCCAGCCAGCCAGCCGGCAATAAGCCAGCCTAACAGCCTCGATGTGGCAAAGACGTGCCCCCAGTGGTTACGTAAACACTAATCTCAATTAAACATAGCTAATCAAATGTTCAATTTCTCCAGGGTAGATCCATCATGGAACCTCGGAGATGGCGCGGCGAAGCCGCGCCCCCAGTTTTCTGGTACATTACTATATAGAAAACGACTACAGTCAACTAAAAGCCTTCCACTCGGAAGCGCTCTACCCCACAAACCGACTACAAGGCCAGCGGGACTAGGTTCAAGGAGGAGTCATTTGAGAAGAGAAGCATCGACCGCGATCAAACGATAATAAGTCTTTTCATTTGATTAACGATAACATTTATTACATACCAACTTTACACAGGTTACAGATGGAGCAGATTCACTCGAACGCCAGATTGTCTGCATGAGCAGTGGCTATCCCGTCCATCTCGTATTCCGCAGCATCAAACTGCTCTCACGGTGACGACCTTCACCAGCCTGCGACCCCTCGCCGTCTGGTGCTATCGGCGATGCGTTTCATCTGGAAGACAGCCGATGTCGCATCTAGACCGGTTCCACTTCGTTTGACTCGGGATAACGGCTCCCCAGCCTCGACGGCAGGTCGGTGCCCGCACGGGAGTCCGAAAATGTTCTCGTAAGACCCGCGGCACGTACCCACCCTAACCGGCGCCGTTCGATATTGCTTTGAGATTATGTGTCTTGAGTCCTACGTCGACCAGGCGCTAGTAATTACTACGCGATCAGAACACGTCAATTGCACACATGGATGGCCACTGTACAACGAATTTATTGTGGCAGTTGAGTTACTCATTGAATACCGTCGGGCCTTTCCACTTTCTCTAAAGTTTGACTATATTCATTTTCCCCCATTCTTCGTCTCTCGTTTCACACTTAGAGCCTGTTCGGTTAGTGTAGATGAGGTCAGGAATTATTTTTACTGGTCAATGTTATACAAATTAGACAATCTTTTCGGCTGAAAATCGTTTCAGGTGTTCATTCCGAGGTAACCGAACAGTCCCTTACTAGCATATGTTCTACCCCCACGTCGTCTGTTTGTTCTGCTTGTTTCTCGACTATAGCTAGGCAGCACATCTTCCCTCACTTCTTAGTTTCCTCAGTGAAGATTGGTTCATATATCGCACGTTTGCTTCATAGATGTGATGTCTTCGATTGTTCAATGCATACATTCAAATCCTAATATTCTGTCTACTTCGTATTGTGAGAGAATGACACAATGTATCGGGTGTTTGAATCCCCGGCTGAACTTAAAGCAAAAAAAAATAAGGAGCCCCCGGTTGAAAGCTGAAAATACAGGTTCAAACAAATCCCATGCTGTTTACAACCAAGTCGAAGTTTTAAAAAAAAACAGTGATTGAAGCTTTCGTTTAGTTCAAATTTGTTTGCCAAGATTGAAGTTAGATGCTTGAGGCCTGAGGCAATACGTTTTGGAAAGGGCACTGCACGCGCACTGTGACCCCCGAGTTGCTGCTGCTTGTTACTCTCTCCATTCCAAATTACAGGTCGCTTTGACTTATTAGTTTATACATTTTGCTATGTATCTAGATATATTATTATATCTAGATGTATAGCAAAATAGATGAATCAAAAAGGTCAAAACGATTTATAATTTGAAACTGACAGAGTACGAACAGAGTACGAGTGAGTCCTACGTACTACTGGTACGTGAGTAACAGTGACAAAAAAATTAAACAGACAAGCTGCGCATTTTAAAGCACACAGATGCAATCCTAGCACTGGAAGAGCCGAGGGACAGATGTTAAAAAAAGCCGAGCTACAGGAACATTCCCATGGTAATTTCTACACTTCACGTCTTGGCCATTCGTATACTTTGTATATAGGCGCTGCATGCTTTCAGTTCAGTGCATTTGACATTGGAACTATTATTGCCATTGGAACTATTATTGCATTTGCCATTAGAACTATTATTGCCATTGGAACTATTATGTGATATTGGCACATTGCTCAAATATGATTTCAGACAACAATGATCAACTGGGCACCAAATACTGCCACTGGAAACGATAGACTAATTGAGCCACACATTGTAGACGCAAAACAAGCAAGAAAACACAGGAAAGAGTCAAACAGGAAATCTTAATGCTTCGAATTTCATTCATCACGAATTGTGCTCCAAGCATTAAGCCTTCTCGTAAAACACACATGTTGGGGAATGTTCACATGGTCCTCGTCACAGCACCTGATCATTGATCCAAAGTTCCGGCAAAAAGAGAGAAGTGGAAGAACCCGCCGCCGCTGCTGCTGCTACAGTACTAACCCAAATCTCTCCGATGAAATGAACAGTGGTTCGAGCTGTTCCCAGTGGCTAAATGCCGGATGTTCCCAGTGGCACTAACCCAAATCATGCGAGGACCAATACTACTCTACGCTACTGATAAGCTACCCAATTAAGTGTCAGGATCAAGGCCAAGAAGACGGCAAGTCTGAAGGAATCAGACAACAGGCGTTCGAGCTGTTCCCAGTGGCTAAATGCCGGATGTATTTGGGCCAGTCATCTTTAGGACCCGTTCGGTTAGAGGTGAATGTGGCTAGGAATCATTCCAGGAAATAAAAACTTGTATAAATTGACTATCAATACTGGTCGGAATTTTCCCCGGTAGCCATTCCTATGAAACGAACAGGGCCTTAGTGGTTTTGTTAGTCATGGGCCAAGGTAGGTGACGGGGGAGTATATAACCCCGATGTAACAAACCGAGAAGGATATCGAATAACAGAATCCGTATCTAAACTCTGAACTTGTTCTTCTTCTAAACTCGCTCATTGCTGTTCTTGCTTTCTTCCCCAAATTTCCTGCTGATTTCTATCCCAAATTCCTTCCACTCCCGTTATCAGTTGCGTTCTGATCCGTAACGTAACAATTGGTATCCAGAGCCGTTGATCGGGGCGGAAATTTTTTCTCCCCATCGATTCCTCGTCCTGGCACCCGCCCGCAAACCGACCAAGTTGCAGTTGCAGATGGCGGCGTCGCTGGAAGAACTATCCTCCAAGTTCGATGACATGGCGAAGCAGATGAGTTCCTTCAGCGGGATGGCGAAGCAGTTCGAAGGCCATCGCGAGATGATGAGGCAGACGCTCGACTCGGTGAACAGCATGGGGTCGCGTCAAACATCTGTCGAGGTGATGCTCGATGATTTGCGCGGCTCGGCGGATGCGACAGCGACCTCCCTCCACAACACCTCCTCTAGCATCGACTCGTTGCGCTGACGAACCCCGGGATCACCCCCGGGCCTGGCGTATTGGGGTGCCCTCCGGTGACCGCGGTCGTTCCACCACCGCGGCGGGAGTTGGACCTGAACATTGCTCCTGGGACGTCATCACGCTCACCTGTGATGGACGTGGAGCGGCCCAAGGGGCACAGCGAGCACTGCGGCGGGATCCATGGATCCCGACCGCAGTCCTGCGTGGAGGGTACGTGCTTTAAAACCCCGCCTGATTCGTTGTTTCAGCCCGATTCTGTTCCCCGCTGGTCGCCTTTTCCTAAGCTCGAGTTTTCGAAGTTCGATGGCTCGAATCCGCGCTTATGGCAAGATCATTGTACCATGTTTTTCGAGGTATATGCTGTGCATCCTTCGCTGAAGACCCGCTTTGCGGCTTTGAACTTTGTCGGCTTCGCGAAGACATGGTTGCACACGGTGGAGCGGCGCGAACGCATTACTGAGTGGCCCACTCTTTGCAAGTTGGTGATGGGGCGTTTCGACAAAGACCAGTACCCATTGATTCTGAAGCAATTTGAAGCCACGGTTCAGACTGCCTCTGTGGCTGAATTCATAACAGAGTTTGAGCAAGCTGCCCACAGTTTGCTGCTATACAATCCAAACTATGATGAAACATACTTTGTCACGAGGTTTCTTGCAGGCCTCAAGGAGGAAATTCGTGCTGGTATTGTGCTGCATAGGCCACCTGATGTCGATACAGCGAGCGCCTTGGCTCTTCTGCAGGAGGCTGAGCTCGGCAAGTCTAAGGGCAGACCTCAGGTGAAAGATGGTTACAAGAGCTCATTTAAGGCATTTGGTGACAAGGTGAGGACAGGTGAGGCTGAGAAACCCAAGCCACAGTCTCTGTTACCTGAGCAAGAGGACAAGTTGGCAACACTTAAGAGTTTCAGACGCCGAAATGGGCTGTGTTTCAAATGTGGTAACAAATGGAGCAAAGATCATGAGTGCCCCCCTCAAGTGCCTTTGCATGTCATTGAGGAGCTGTTGGATGCCCTGGAAACCATAGGAGTGGATGATTCTGAGCCTGATTCTGAAGTTCTGGAGGAAACAGTAATGGCAGTTGGTCATGCCACTCTTTCAGATCAAGCTAAAAGAAGAACTATGAAACTGTGTGGACAGATTGGGGGCAAGGAGGTGCTGATCTTGGTGGATTCTGGTAGTGTGGCCTCTTTTATCAGCACTCAGTTGGCAGATAGTCTCCAGTCCAATGCAATCAAGCCAACTTTGTGACTGCAGATGGGGATTCTTCAGTAGACTAGACAGGTTCAGAATTTGAAGTGGAAGGTGCAGGGCCATTATTTATTTTATGACCACAGTGGGGATTCTTCCACTCAAGTGCTTTGATATGGTGTTGGGAGAAGATTGGCTTGAAGAATGCAGCCCAATGTGGGTGCATTGGTCTAACAAAATCATGAGGTTCACCTATCAAGGGAAAAGGATTGAGCTATATGGGGTCAAGCATCAGGTTGATCAGTTTACTGCTATTTCTGCTCACTGTTTGCAAGGATTGTTTACAAAGGAAGCTGTTCAGTTTTGTCTACAGCTGAAACTGGAAATGCCCCAAACACAGTTGACAGCTGCATCACAGGAACTGCATTCTATCAGTTTATCTGATTCAGTTGAGGTACCAGTTGAGGTAAGGGAGCTCCTTAGCACTTATGAGGATCTCTTTCAGGAACCCAATGCTTTGCCACCACAGAGATCTCATACAACTGTTACCAGGAGCTCCACCTGGCAACATCAGGCCATACAAGTACTCACCTGCTCAAAAGGATAAGATAGAAAAACAGTTGGCTGAAATGCTCAAGAATAGAATTATCAAACCAAGCCAAAGCCCCTATGCTTCTCCAGTACTATTGGTCAAAAAAAAGATGGCTCATGGAGGTTTTGTGTGGTTTATAGGCATCTTAATGCTCAAACAGTAAAAAACAAGCATCCCATGCCTATAGTTGATGAACTTATTAATGAATTGGCTGGAGCTCAATGGTTTTCTAAGTTGGATTTTAGAGCTGGTTATCATCAGATTTGTATTCATCCAGAAGATACTCATAAAATAGCTTTTAAAACCCATAATGGCCTCTATGAATTCCTGGTCATGGCTTTTGGACTGACTAATGCTACTGCTACATTTCAGAGTGTGATGAGTTTCATATTTGCTGCTCTCTTAAGAAAAAGTGTCCTTGTATTCATGGATGACATTCTTATTTACTCAGCTACATTGGAGGAGCATGTGAGTTTGTTGAAACAAGTGTTTGACATTCTTAGGCAGCATCAGTTCTTCATTAAGATATCTAAGTGCTCTTTTGCTCAGCATGAAATAGAATACTTGGGTCATTGCATATCTAAGGATGGTGTAGCTACTGAAAAAGCAAAGATCTCTTCTGTGGAGCACTGGCCTATGCCAACAAATGTGAAAGAACTCAGGGGATTCTTAGGCCTCACAGGATATTACAGGAAGTTTATTAGGCACTATGGTCTGATCAGTAGGCACTTGACTAATTTGCTAGAGAAGGGAGTACCTTTTGTTTGGACTTCACAGGCCCAAGAAGCATTCACTCAGTTGAAACTTGCTCTTGTTAGTGCTCCTGTGCTGGCAATTCCTGATTTCAGTAAGCCATTTGTACTAGAAACTGATGCCAGTGATGTGGGTTTTGGGGCTGTTCTGTTGCAAGATTCTCACCCTGTGGCATATCTGAGCAAAGTTGTGTGTCCTAAGAACCAAGCTCTTCCAACCTATGAAAAAGAATGCCTGGCTATAATTCTTGCAGTAGAGAAGTGGCGTCCTTATTTACAAAATGCTGAATTCATCATTAGAACTGATCACAAAAGCCTGCTTCACTTAACTGAGCAAAGAATCACTTCTAGAATTCAGCAGAAGGCATTGTTAAAATTGATGGATCTCCAGTCTAAAATCATCTATAAGCAAGGAGCTCTGAATCAGGCAGCTGATGCTCTTTCCAGGTGTTATTCTCCACAATCTATTATGGCTGTCTCTTTTGCTAACCCTTTCTGGTTGGACAGAGTGAAGTTGGGGTATAGTGATGACCCCCTTGCTATGCAGTTGCTATCTAACCCAACTGGAGATTATTCTGTCACTGATGGAATCATTAGACATCAGGGAAGAATATGGTTGGGATCAAATTCTCTAGCACAGCAACATGTGTTGCAGGCTGTTCAAAGTTCTGGAGTTGGGGGCCATTCAGGATTTCAGGCCACTTACTACCGTATCAGGCATTTATTTTCTTGGCCAGGAATGAAGGTTGCAATAGCTAAGTATGTACAAGAATGTCAGGTTTGCCAACAATCAAAGGTGGAGCATGTCAAACCTCCTGGGTTTCTGCAACCCCTGACAGTTCCCACTCAGGCATGGCAGATTGTGTGTATGGACTTCATAGAGGGTTTGCCAAAGTCCCAGAAATTTGACACTATCTTAGTGGTGATTGACAAGTATACAAAATATGGCCATTTTATACCTTAGGCTCACCCTTTTTCTGCTCTGACAGTTGCACAGGCTTACCTTGATTCAGTGTACAAGTTGCATGGGTTACCACAAGGAAAAGTTTCAGACTGTGATAAGATCTTCACCAGTGCTGTGTGGAAGGAACTATTTCGGCTGTCTGATACTCAGCTCATGATGAGCTCATCATATCATCCGCAGATTGATGGGCAGTCAGAACGTCTGAACCAATGCTTGGAAGGCTTTTTGCGCTGTGCGGTGAACTCTTACCCTCGGCAATGGAATAAGTGGCTGTTAGTAGCTGAGCTATGGTATAATACAAGCTTTCATTCGACCTTGGGGCGCTCACCGTTTGAAGTTCTTTATGGTCATCCACCAAGACAGTTTGGGTTCTCCAATGAAATACAGTTTCACTCTCCTGACCTTGAGCAGTGGTTAACTGAACGTCACTTACTGTCTGATGTGATTCAGCATCATCTTCATCATGCTCAACAAAGAATGAAGGCACAAGCTGATAAAGGCCGCAGTGAGCGTGAGTTTTAGGTTGGTGACAGCGTGTATCTCAAGATACAGCCATATATACAGTCATCTGTAGCTCCAAGGACGAATCAGAAACTCAGTTTCAGGTATTATGGGCCCTTCCCTGTCATTGATTGTGTGGGTGCAGTTGCATACAAGCTTCAGTTACCAGCTGCTTGTCGTATTCACCCTGTGGTTCACATATCTCAATTGAAGCGACATGTACCTCCTTCAGTTCGTATTGAGGATGACATCACTTAGATTCCGGATGACCCAAATGTTCAGGATGTGCCAATCCACGCACTCCTAGGAAAGGGGTCCTGAGTAGTACATCAGATTCTGGTGCAATGGAATTCTTTGCCAGCTTCTTTAGCAACATGGGAAGAAGCCAAAGATCTCCATCAGTGGTTTCCAAAGTGTCCAGCTTGGGATCAAGCTGGTTTCCGAGGAGGGAGGAATGTCAGGATCAAGGCCAAGAAGACGGCCAAGTCTGAAGGAAATCCGACAACAGGCGTTGAAGCTGTTCCCAGTGGCTAAATGCCTGATGTATTTGGGCCAGTCATCTTTAGTGATTTTGTTAGTCATGGGCCAAGGTAGTTGGGCCAAGCTGTAGGTCGGCAGTGACGGGGGAGTATATAACCTCGATGTAACGAACCGTGAAGGATATCGAATAACAGAATCCGTATCTGAACTCTGAACTCGTTCGTCTAAACTCGCTCATTGCTGTTCTTGCTTTCTTCCCCAAATTCCCTACTGATTTCTATCCCAAATTCCTTCCACTCTAGTTATCAGTTGCGTTCTGATCTAGAACGTAACATTAAGCTGGAGCAATAGGCACCCTCGTCACCTGAGCTGGAGTCGCCCGCGCCTCCCGCACTGCTGGATCAGAGCATGCGGGCAGCAGCCAGCAGACGCCCGGTCGCCCGTCATGCTGGAGTCCCAGCCGCGCTGCAGCCCGCCCATGCTGTCGGAGCCCTCGCCGCTAGCGCTGCTCGGGCGCGTCAGGCCACCGTCGCGCGTGCGCTTCCGCTTGGTCCGGTGCGTCCGCACAGGACCTTTGCTGGAGATGCGGCGCCGTGCTGCCCTTGCCCCTGTCCCTGCACGCTTTGGAGGTGCAGCGCCTCCTGGAAACGAGAGATCGAGTAGCCTGCAGCCTGGAGCACCAATACTACTATAGGCGACTGATATTAATCTACCCAATTATGCGCTAATCTCTAAGGTAGTGCTTGGATAGTGGGATATGGTGGGATGGAATGGGATGATCCCACTTCACTAGTTGTTTGGTTTAGAGACATGATGGGCAGAGTCATCCCACCTGGAGAATATTCCCTCAGGATGCGGGGCGAACTCGTCCCCTGAAAAAGAGCGGACGAGGGTGAACCTAGGTGGGACGAGCGCGCGAGTAGCGAGGGAAGAGGAGAGGCGCACAGCAGCTAGGGAAGAGGAGGCGCACCGCGTGGCCAAGCGAGTGGGCGACATCAGGCGAGGCAGCTCCGGCGAGCTCCGACGAGATCCGGCGAGGCAGCTCCGACGAGATCAGGCCCGGCTGGTGCGCGGCTGCGGTCCACCGCCGCCGCCGTGGGGGCGAGCTACGGCCGGAACCAGCGTACGAGGGAGGGCCAGCCGCGGCCCTGTCGCCGCACGGGTGAGGGCGAGCGATAGCTGAAAGGTCCTAATGGCTAGAGGGGGGTGAATAGCTTATAAAAGTTTCTACAACAACACTTAAGCCAAGTGGTTAAACAATTATAAGACGAAGCAAGTGTTGCGCTAGCCTACTAAAGATGCAAGCCACTTATCCTCAATTCTAGTTGCTATGATTTCTAAATCACACAAAGAGGCTAAGTCACTACTCTCTAAATTAGTGAGCTCTTAAAGACTAACTAAAGAGCCTCACTAACCAAACTAACAAGATACAAGCTATATCTCAAAACTAGTTACACTAAAGAGCTTAGCTACACTAGGAAAGTAAATGCAAGAGAGGTAGTAAAGGTTATACCATCGTGGCAAGAGACAGTCAATCAATCACAATGAGAATCCCCGGAGACAATGATGACACAAAGATTTATCCCTGAGGTTCACTTGCTTGCCAGTAAGCTACGTCCTCGTTGTAGCGATTCATCCACTTGGAGGTTCACGCGCTAATGGGCATCACACGCCTAACCTGCAATCAAATGCCGCACAACCAACACAAGATGGGGATCCACAAGTTACAAGCAATCCACTAGAGTACCTTTTGACTCTCCGCCGGGAAAAGGTCAACCCCTCACAATCACCACGATCGGAACCGGAGACAATCACCTTCCTCCACTCGATGATCTTCGCTGCACCAAGCCGTCTAGGTGGTGGCAACCATCAAGAGTAACAAGCGAATCCCGCAACGAAACACAATCACCAAGTGCCTCTAGATGCAATCACTTAAAACAATACACTTGGATGCTCTCCAATCTCACCAAATGATGAATCAATCAAGCAAAATGAGTTAGAGAGGAATGACTAGGCTCACTAGGGTATATTCTTAATAGAAATGACCAAGAGAGTGAGCCCAAGCCGGCCAAATACTATTTATAGAACCCCAAAGAAATTCAGCTGTTATGCTCAAGGTGGGGGTCACTGCGCGTTGAACGCACCCAAGCCAGCTTCCAGTCCTCAGGATGCGGCCACGTGGCCCTCCTACAAATGTCAGTCGCGCGATCCCAACAGTTACCTGCTGCTCGCGCACTGCTTGAGTGACGACCAGACGTAGCCAGGCTGTGATAGAACCGTTCAATTTATAAGAGCACAAGTATAATAGCAGCCCACAAGCAGTCGCACTATCATATTTGAGCCCATATAAATCCAGTAGTCCGTCGAGTACCACGAAGGGTCTTGATTCATCGCCAACATACAACCAAGATCGTACATGATTCAACATACATGCCACATGTTACATAGAGTTCACAAATATATTGTCATACATCAGAGTGCGATTAAAGTTATTACAAACCAAGTTCAAATAAAGTAGTAGCAGAAACAAAGTAGTTTTTAAACCAACATCTCACACCATTGTTCAAATACCTGCCAGACTGTGATTACATCCCACAAAAGCATCATAGATTAGATATATAGAAGCGCCTTGCCCAGGGCCTACTCCTTGTCCATGGCGGGACAGAAGCAGTTCTTATAATATCCATGATAGACTGTATTATCTGTAACAAGTGGAAAAATAAACCCTGAGTACAAGAAGGTAATCAGCTAGACTTACTCATCATAAACTAAAAATAATGTGACTCCAAGGATCATGCAAGGCTTTATAAGTGGAGCTAGCTTGACAATATTTTGCAAAAAAGCCACTAGTTCAACTATACATTTTATAATTCGGTATCAAGTTAATTATAGCTATTCACCTCTAGATTAACCACTAACCTGTGCCAAATATGTGATATATCATTATGTAGCAACACAATAATAACCATAGCCGGTGTAGCATTCCCATGTCCAATATAACCATCAAATTCCATAGTCCAGTTACTATGATGTAGGGACTAGGCGAGTTTCTCACTATCCGGGAGAAACGGCGATTCGAATCGGTTGCAACTAGCTGGGCAGTTATTTCTAACACAAACCCACACTTCCCCTATCGGGTCACCTTTGGTACAACTCAGGTCCACATTTTGCGGGTTCGATCAGCGCCGCACAACCAAGGACAACCAGCTAACAGGACGTTCAGTCTCGGCCTACCCATGGGCTCACGTCTGGCTCCCCGCACATCCTTACTACCATCCTGAGTGTGCACTTTGACTGAACGAGGCCCGGCCTGAGTTGAGCTACTCGGCTTCGCGGTCGGAATGAGTTATCCGGCCAGCTAAGTGAGAGGCATAGCGTTCAATCTCGATAGAAGCGCCAACAATGATATGGTCATTAATCGACACAGGCAGGACCAACATAGCCAAACCAACACCATTGCATATAAGTTCCCGCTCGGTCTCCATTTAATAACCATCATGGTTATTTTTCACGATAGCAAATATAGCCAACCGTGCTTCGGTATCCACCTATATCTCGCAGGTGACAGGAAATCACCTGACTTCTATCGGTCTAAGCATTTCTAACCATATATTTGATCCTGGACCTACATAGGGTTCAAGGTATATTTCTAGACAAGGTAGTTCTATGCATCAAGTGTTTCCAACCAACTCTTATAACCTAATGCATCAAATATAAAGGACTAAAGCGATATTTATAAAAACATATGAGGCTTAGAATGCTCCGGGGCTTGCCTTTTAGAAACGAAGTGGGTCGGTGGTCAGGGCACTCCGGAAGTTCATTAGTGGCCGGCTCCTCTCCTTCGAGAGCTGCGGTTTGGGGTGTCCCTTGATTGTCCTCTGCCTCTTCTTCGAATTCCAGTAGGGTTACTCCTTTGGACGATCCTATATGCATGAGCACGAATAATATATTATGGATGCATAGGTAATGACATGGATGATATGATATGATGAAATGCATAATCATGAGTGTTCTTAACAGAAAGGTCATAGGGTGATAACAAGATTAACTCCTTTTACTGAGTAGATGCATAACTCATCTCTAGTAATTAAACAAACATCTATTTAAACATTTTCTAGGCTGCGAGACAGCAGCCACATGTTTTTAACCATAACTGGAGTTGTACACATCCAAACACTATGATTTTGGACTTTCTGGAAAACTTATAAACTTTCCTACAACTTTCCTTTAATCATCATAAGGTGATTCAGTAGCTATCTAGGTCAAACAATTCAATCTTTCAGATCTATCCAGAGGATAAGCAAATCTGACCGCAAACGTCTAACAGCTATAACTCTTAAACCATTAGGCCTATGACCATGAAATTTTAGGACAAGCAATATGTGTAAGTTATCTACAACTTTGTTATTAACAAGTTTCACAGAAGAGGTCATTATCATCATGCATTTGTCAACACAACATAAACTACTCATGCTGCCATTTAGTTGAATTATAAAGCAATAATTAACTTGCTGCCTATAACCAATTATTTCTAATCCCAATTAATAACATCAACATATTATGTACATCACAAGTACCACAAAAAACATCATGGTTAAGCCCAAATAATTTACTTATGTGCATTTATTAATTTCCTTATATAATAAGGTGATTTAAAGGATAAATATTTCTAGTTCTCAATAAATCCTGAGGAAATTACAGTAGACTACATCTGACCCCAATAGTCTACTATACGAATGTCATGCCATTTGGATAAGTATAGAAACCTCTACATAAATGACAATTTGCATAGGCTTATTTTAGCAAAAATAGTTTAGCCTAGTGAAAAGTGCCAAACAATAGATTTCATATTTTTCTTACTGTCATCCTAGCATAAGAAGACTGTGTAAAAATTTGCATGATCATATGTTATATATTTTTGCCCTAATTATTTTCACTCGAAACTAGCAATTATTTAAGATTAAATAGAAAGACCATATTTCAAGTATGCCTATTGTACTTTTAGTATTTTTTGTAGCTAGAGCATGTTAACACAAGACCAACAAAATTAAAAT